AACCAACTCTTACTTACCTCTTTCTTGTGGTTCTCGACCCCGAGGACCGGGTGATGGTTTGATGGGGGGTACATTGTCCTGTGGCTCTGGCATTTTGATATTTGAAATTCAGTGAAACGAAAAGCGTTGTCGTTTGGATGTTGAGATTCTTCTCCGCAGTACTAGACAACATCAGAGTGCTGGCTTTTATGATAATGACCCAAGAAACTGCCTGATTATAACAGTACATGTACTCTCGCCCGTCAAGTATCCTTCCGCAGCGGTTACCGGTACCTAATTATGAGTGGTCCGGCACAAAACAATAGTGTTACCACAGGAAACGGGTCAGTTGTCGAGATATTGGTGTTGATTGAATTCGACCCTGCTTTTTGGACAAAGCCAAAATGCAATCACAAGTTTCCCCAGTGTTGATCTTACACACTGCATGTCCTTTCCTTGTAATCCTGGCCGATCTATCTACAAAATCATCATGCACATGTGTTGACCATGAAAATAAGAGGGAATCCTTGACAATGAGATTTAATTTAGTAGTTTGAATACTAGGCTCTTGAAGTCTCATTCACTATTTATTGGTATAGGATAAGGGACCATGCTCAGAAATGTTCAGGGGGCATCTGTGTTTCTTTAAATTTTTCAATTTTGACATTTTGAGGTTTAAAACGAAAGAACGCATGGATGAAAAACAAATAACGTCTGTGTCTTTTTATGAGTATTAAACGTATTATTGTATTTTTCGATCACTTTATGTTAAAACTATATTGCAGCTTGAAAGGATTGATTTATCTGTGATTTTCTTCATGTCCATTTTCTTTAAAAGTTACAGGGGAGTTAAGTTGAAATTACAGGCCGACAAAAGACGAATGACTGAAAATAAGGGAGAGAAGTTCTAAACATTTCACTGACTGATAAAATGCTGAAGACGTGGAATAAAATGTTAATGTGAGAAGCTGTGATGCAAAAGGACACAGCAGTCTAAAAACTGATCGAAAATTGACGAAGGATGCGGAGACTGGTGAGTATCTCTGAGACACGTTGTTTGTAATTTTTAGGGTAAAATATATTTCGTGAAATTCCATTAAAATTCAGATTTTTTGTGCGATAACATTGGCAGTTTCTCATTTGAAATAAAGTGATAAATTTATATTTATGAGAAATTCACATTGAAAAATCATTGTTTTATCTTGGCTGCTTTATCTGTGCCTTATGTCCTTGTACATATACCTTTTTTGGTTGTTTTACTGGCCTCCCTTGCCTCCCGTTGAGCTGGAGTTGTTGGAGTTACCAGACCCTTGCCCTGTTTGTCCATGGTCTAATCTAGACCAAAAGAAGGGGTTTTCTTTCACAGTCATTTGTTCCCATCTGAATTGTTTGCATGGATATTTTGTCCGTTGTGCGCGAGTGGAAATTATCTATAATTTGCAGGTAACGCATTCTTCATGTCTTGTGTGATGGAGGAAACGCAGACTTTTTAAAGGAGAAATGTATGTTAATCACCTTTTTCCGATGGCTCTTGAAGGCGCGAACCGGAACTGCGAAATCCATAAAATTGAGTGAACGTCGTCTTCTCATATTCTTTTTTTTTTTACAATATCCTGTGTTTCTTTTTGGTAGAGGAACGATGATTTTCGATTCGTGTGTAGAACCAGAACGTACGTTGCGTTTTATGTTGCATTTTTGAATTTTGGTTTAAAAAGGGACGGGTTTAGTGTTATATTCATCCTCGCTTACGTGAGGGTGTAGCTCACATTTAATAAGCGTACCCCTCGGTCTCATTTCTTGCTGGGTATACCAGATAGACCCCAAAAGTTACAGCTGTCACTCTTAAAGAGAGAAAAAACGACCATTTTTTCCTCCAGGTCACTCAGAATGGTTTGTCAAGCTTATATGAAGAGTGTGATGTATTGACTTCAAGCGTTCCCTTAACGTTGTAGTATCGTATGTAGCTGTTGTAATAAACGGTTTCCCGTGAATTCATCGAGACTTAAGATGGCTCTTGCTTCCGTTCCTTTTCCCAGCACTCAAAATTGGAAATGAACACAAACGTTTCACTAAACACGTGGAGAAACCGCTTGCCTGTCGTCATTTGACAGCTTATGGACATGATGAAAAGTGCTCGTTTGAAGTTGAGCCTGCAAGCCTAGCCTGCAGACAGAAAAGATGAGAAACGAAAGTTGAGAAAATGTCAAGGGTGAGTGTACATGGTTTGCCTAGTTGCAGTGTAATACAAAAAAGATGATACAGCATGTACATGTACGTGTATACTTGTCTGAGGGAGAACATTTCTCCTTTCTTTCTAGGTAATTCTTAAAAGGTAATTGTTTGCATTCAAATACATGAATATGGTTTTTGAAAATACATGCAGCACGTTTAAACACTAAATGTATTTCATTATGTATCAATCGATAGATGATAGATCTAAGCTTCAAGTTTTACTTTGGCAGTGTTCGGTGTCTATCTATTTTTAGTCTTCCCGTCTGTCGCCTTAGGGTTTTTTACTGTCGGCCCTCCCTGTTTTGTCTTGGAAGAACTTTGTCTGGTTGCTACAGTGGATTTTTCTAAAATATAAAGTAAAACATTCATTGTACCTTATATGTATACACATATTCGAAACAAGTTTGGGAAATACTGCTTTCCGGAAGACGATTACTGCACATTCTTGTCTCCTGTGGCTCTCTTTGTCGAGTCGACGTCGTTGGCTTGCATTCTTTCACAATGCGCTGGGGGTGTTCCCGTTTTCGGGGAGGCATTTTTTTCAGTGCAGAAATTTCGTCCAAAGGGCAATAGTTTTGATCTTAGTTTGTTTGCTCTCAGGAAATGATGCAAGATGGTTTGCCCTTGGTGCCAAATAGAATTGTACATGTAGACATTGTTACTCAGTTTTATTGTGACGTTGCGGAATAGAAGTAGTTCCTCTTGAAACAAAGCCTGTTCATAGTGGTTATTTAGGCGTAGCTTTTATATTTTGTAATCAACTGCGAATTTAAACATTTGAATTCGCCTCACACCTTGATTTGAGTTTGGATTTATACTTTCACAGTCCTACAAAAACGTGGAAAAAGCAAGCTACCCCTAAGAATAAAGGTAGAATCCTCTGTCACTCCCATTCCACCTCACTGGTAACCACAAATTCAGTAGCTTCCTATATATTCAGGGAAACAATTCCAGGGAAGCATGCTTACTGCAAGTTACTGCAAGTGTACTTGCAGTAACTCTCACGGGCATTTGTAATATTCATTCAGTATCTGTGAATGAAGCGACTAACCAAATAAGTCTTAGCTGTGTTTTGATTTTAATAATACCGCCCACCTTCAGAATGCGCGCATTTCCAGCAAGGTTATAGGTATCAAGTGTAGCCGAGGCGTCTGTATGTTTGACTTCACGTACGGCTGTGAGATTTAGCTTTCTGTGTGAAGATCATAACCTTTGATTGAAATACTTGTATTAATTGCCTTATATAAAATTTGATGAGTAAATAGAAATTTGAATGGAGGAAGATGTGTTCAGTGAGTCAGAATTAGCGAGGCTCAACAACTTAAAGCATAATCTGAGATTCTAGCATTAACCTGCATATCGTTTTGAGGGGAAATATCAGACTTGGTCTCAGAATTTACTGTGACATGTAATGTGTCTTTCCCTCAAGAGGAGCACCATACAACAAAAACATTAACTTTCAAAACCTCGAGGACTTGAATTACTGCCATTTGAGGAATACTTGTATTTGAAAATCCAGAGTTTGCGTGAGATTTTACTCAATACAGACAAAATAAACACATTGCTCGTATCAATCGAGGTTTATTTTGTAAACCAAATATTCAAAACAGGCACTTGAAGATTTATCAACTTATCCATGGTCAGTAAGTGAACGTATTTTACGTATGTTCATAAGTGGGAGGTGCGCGTTTAGAACCTACGTGGCGTTACATTAAATCCTTACATTTACATGTGCATGCTCACTGGTACTTACAACTGGCACCTGGTTTTGAGTGATGATAGTGCACAAAAAGCGTAAACTTTTGACACAGCGATAAAGTTAGTTTGGTGCAAAATGTCTCAAGTT